TACAACAGGCGTATTATTATCACGCTGACCTGCGAGACTGTGGTATGTACAGGGCTGGGAGAAGGTTCTGATGATGAAACCGCCGATGCCGAGGCCCAGCGCGAAGGTATGGGTTTGTGCTCTGTGTAGTGAGTGCACCCGACTGCTATGAGTCTATCTCAATGTGAAGGCTAAACCATGCCATGCCCACTGAGGTTTAACGCAGGTCTGATGTAGAATGATACAAGTTATTTTTAGAATAAGAATAACGATATAATTTATTTTGAGAATAAGAAAAAAACATATAATCTATTTTTAGAATAAGAAAGAACAACAGAAGTTATTTTTAGAATGAGAATAAAGATACAAATTTTTGTCTTGCATGTGATAATAACTTATATGCAGATGATAATTACTTTATATGTATGTGATAGTAACTTATATGCATATACCTATAACTTACATGCATATGATATATCTAGGACACAAATTTTTACGCCCAGCCACCTGTATGTGAGCACATACTGTGTGTGCCTGCGTGTGCACACACGAGGGTTATAAAATAATTGGTTATATATCTTATTGTACGCGTGAACATGTAGTTGGTATAGTTTGACCCACACAGTGGTACGCCCCTATTGCAAGATGACCAGTTCCTTTGTGTGTGAATGCAGTGCATGGGTACTCGTGGTGACTGAAGTGATAGAAGCACACTATGTTCTGAATTAATATCATTGTGTTGCTGTCTATGTACTGAATTAATATCACACTATGTACTGAATTAATATTATCGTGTGGCTATGGGACATCGATGCGATCGAGAGACCAGGTTTAGATATCATAAGAAAAGCACCTTGTATCTCATACGAATAACATTTTTATATCCTTGGAATGACATATTATATTCAGATATCCTTGTAATAACGTATTATATTTAGATATTTTCGGAATAATATTTTATATTCAGACATATCTTTGGAACAATACATTATATCTGTATATCCTTGGCATAACATATTTATATTTAGAACTCCTTGGATTAATATACTGTATTTAGATATCCTTGGAATAATGTATCATATTTATATATCCTTGGAATAACATATCATATCTGTATATCCTTGGTATAACATATTATACATCCTTGCAATAACACCTTATGCATTCATTTAATGCCTACAGACGCGCCTGACGAAGCGAACGTCGACGATACACACCCCATAGAAGACCCGAGCACACCCACACCCACGGACGACCCAGACACAGCCAAGGGAGACACAGACAGCCCTACGGCAAATAACCAGGACGACAGCGTACAGGATACCACGGCAGATGAGAAGGAGAGGGAGAAGAGCAGTGAGGTGGATGAGCCCAGCGATGAGACGACGGTCGAAGCGCTGAAGGAACCAGCCAAGGCTACACCAAATGCACAGGACAGTGAGGGCAAGAGGCCCAAAATGGGGATAAAGGTGTGTATGAGGGGTGTGTATATGTGTGTATGAGGGGTTTATATAAAGATGGATGTATAAGGGGTGTATATAAGAGTGTGTGTATGAGGGGTGTATATAGAGGTGTGTGTATGAGGGGTGTATATAGAGGTGTATGTATGATGAGTGTATATAAAGGTGTGTGTATGAGGGGTGTATATAAAAGTGTAAGTATGAGGTTTGTATATAAGGGTGTGTGTATGAAGGGTGTATATAGTGGTGTATGGAACCTCAGATATAGTGGTTATAGTGAGGTTTTAGGGTTTGTGGTTGTAGTGCGTGTGTGTGTGTGGTATCTTGGCACAGAGTCACATTCGCAGCTACTCATGCGGCGCCTTGTATGTGTTCAGTACGCGCGTCTGTGCCACTAGTCGTGATGTAGCCATAGGTAGACTGAAATGGGACTCATTTGCACCGAAATGGGACTCATTGGGACTCATTTGCACCTTGTGCAGCTCTTGGTCGGCAATATATATATATATACCCATGAACCTATATTTCGATATACCCATGAGCCTATATTTTGATATACCCATGAACCTATATTTTGATATACCCATGAACCTATATTTTGATATACCCATGAGCCTATATTTTGGACTGCAATAGCTGCCGATTAACCCATAGCTCTGTGCCCGCCAAGATCCGAATATTCCCCATCAATTCAAAGTCTGCGAATATATGTATGTATGTATATGTATACGTATATGTATATGTACATGTATATGTACATGCATATAAAATCATTAAAAGTTAACAGTCCCCCCCTTCTTCTCGCCCATATCCACCCCCTCACAGCCGCAGAGAGACTCTGTAGCAGACGCCTTGGCAGACATTCCCATTGCCGGTGGTAAGCGCCTGCTCGAGCGGTGGCTGGACCAACTCTTCACAGCGTTGTACCAGGACCTCATGTGCAATGTAATCTGGAAGGCTCAGGTATGTACCCGCTATACTAGCTGTACTAGTTGTATTCTGTCTCTGTCTCTGTCTCTGCATCTGTCTCTGTCTCTGTCTCTGTCTCTGTGTCTATGTTTATGTTTATATTCCTGTTATCTGCAATGTAAGGTCAATATCGACCATGGTTGTATTGTGTGGATATACGCGTAGCAGAGTGTAGTTTGTCAGTACACTATGTAGTATCACCAACTCACAAACTTGACATCCAAGCATCTCGTCGAATGAAGTTTATAGCCATCGTAAACCATGTTTCCATTATTGTCTAAAATATATACAACTTACATTACCTTACATAATTATATCGTCTCATAATAAAACGTGTGTACACCTTTACAACGCAGGAGCAACACGCCGCACGCAACAACCAACAAGCCATTGCGCGCACAGTGGGCGACTACCTGCGCTATGGCATTCTCGCAAAGCGTCTGCACCACAAGGACGATGCTGTACAGGCCTTCCAAAAGTGCACACAGACAGGTGTGTGTTTATTGC